GGTGGCTGCATCGGTCCGTGGGGTGGGGGGGGGGGGGGGGGGGGGATAAAGTTGGTCAAACTCACCTCTCCAGGTCCTTCTGAGGCCTGACAACAGAAACAAAACACATTAGACTCTCAGGGACGACAGACTTTAACACAGTAATGACCTGATAGAGAACAGGAAGTTTAAACACAGGAAGTTTAAACAAACCTGAATTCAACTACGAAGACGTTCTTGAAGCCCGGGAGTCTCTCGAAGGCGTCTTCAATCTGAGAGACAGGAAGTAACTTTTAGTCTTTGAATATGTCTCTAATATAATAATAATAATAATCAGGTGATTCTTAATCAACAATGTCTCTGAATCTGCAGTTTGTCACGTTAGTGTCTTCACTAACAGACGTTCTTTAGTTTAGTAGACGCAGAACTAAACGACGCTGTTAAAGAGTCAAAGATCCTCTGAGCAACAGAAGAAGAAGAGAAGGAATCAGCTAGAACAGCTTCCTGTTTCAGAGTTTCACAATAAAAGCTGGAGTGAACTTTATCACGGTAGTAACAGGAGGTTAGTGTAGAGTTACTGTTTGAACATCAGCTGATCTTCTATCAATATTTACTGATCAATAATCAAAGTGATTCTACATCAACGGGACTCTGTCATGTGACACAAACATGTCATGTGACACAAACATGTCATGTGACACAAACATGTTTTTATCTGTTAGGAGAGAACAACAGCTGACAGCCAACTCTTAACACTCGTGTTCCTCTTGTAAAGTTACTCTACTGTCTCAAACCCTGTTCTTCACTTCATGTTCCCTCATTAAAGAAAATAAACCGTCACTAAAAAGTCCCGGTGGAGCCTGAACACACCGGTGGAGCTGATGTTTCCTGGCACCGCTGGTTTTTCCAAAGTGAGTCACTGCTGGTTTTTAGTGCCTCAGCGAGTCGTAGAGATCGATCGCTGGGAGAGAACTCAAGAACCTTCAAACTGAAGAACCTTAACACCTGAAGAACAGGCCTGTAAACCACAGAGGCCTGAGTCGGCAGTTTTTAGGAAAACCACAAGCAAGTAATGAGTGTTGCATCAGAGAGAGGAGTCAAAGACGCAGAGGAGTGAAGATGAGGAGGTGGTGTGAAGAGGAACCGCAGAGATCAATAACAATGACGTCATCACTGATCCTCTCCTGCTGCTTTGATGACAACGTTTTGAGAAACACTTTAACATTTAACTTTCTCTGTTTGAATCCAGAGACTATATTTTATAACGCCAACAAATTCTATTCGGTAGATAAAAACATGTTGTGAACTCTGGAAATGATTAAATCTGTCTTTCTTTAATAATAGTTGACTTTTCAACTTTTAAACGCTTAAAACAGTGTTTCAGTTAAAACCATCGTACCCTTCGTGTGAAGTGTTTCAGTTAAAAACCATCTTACCCTTCGGGTGAAGTGTTTCAGTTAAAAACCACCGTACCCTTCGGGTGAAGCGTTTCAGTTAAAAACCATCGTACCCTTCGGGTGAAGCGTTTCAGTTAAAAACCATCGTACCCTTCGGGTGAAGTGTTTCAGTTATAAACCACCGTACCCTTCGGGTGAAGTGTTTCAGTTAAAAACCATCGTACCCTTCGGGTGAAGTGTTTCAGTTAAAAACCATCGTACCCTTCAGGTGAAGTGTTTCAGTTAAAAACCATCGTACCCTGCGGGTGAAGTGTTTGGCCAGCTGCTGGTACTGGGAGCTGCTCGGGTCTCTCAGAGCGTCGTTGTAGGTTTCTCCTCTCAGCTTGATGCTCAGCTCCACCACCTGGTCCTTCAGGGGCCTCGGGGGCCACGGCACGTCGTCGTCGATCTCATTACCGATCTGAAAGTTCGGGAACATTGAATGCTGGGTGTGTTGTCGATAAGCGGGACGTTCTACAACAAAAATCTACTTTTACTCACCAAGTTTTTGAAGTCGTTGTTTCCCAGAAGGTGGTCGTCTACGGCGTGAGGGTTCTCCGTCAGATCGGGGAAGTTCCCGTTGTTGTACTCCATGACGTACTTGGTTGTGACCTCCGGAGTGGATGCAGCACCTGGGGGGGGTACCCTCAACGTCCTCAACCTGGACGCTGTCCTCACTCTGGTCTTTTCCAGGATCATCAGGAACCTCGTTGCGGACCTCCTCAGCCTTAGTTACTCCCCCCCCCTGTGGGAACAATGCCCGGACGGTCACGAGTCACAAACTCCGGAGATGTTTCACTTTCGGACTCTGCACCTTCACTTGCAGGCTCAACCACCTGTGTAGGACTCTTTCTAGTAGTTTCTGGTGGTTCTTCTACCTCGGGGTCTCCTAGTAGTTCCACAGTCACCTCCGGATCAGGTGTTTCCTCCACTTCAGTCACGGGCAATAAACGATCGGTATCTTCTGGAACAACAACAATAACTAGAGTGATCTCTTCATTGAATGCTGGTGTTGTTTCACCAAAAGTCTCAGGAACGACTTCCTCCAATATCTCTAACGAGGCCTCAGATTTTGCTTCTTCCATATCCTCCAAAAGTTCTTGTGCAGGTTCCTTCTCTTTTGCAATTTCTTCTACGAGTTCTGCTTTTTGTTCTGGTTCTCTAATGGGTTCTGTCTCTTCAGCAGTTCCTTCTGCAGGTTCTACTATTTGTACAGTTTCTAAAACAGGTTCTGGTTCTTGTTCAGTTTCTAATGGAGGTTCTGGTTCTTGTACAGTTCCTTCTGCACGTTCTGCTTCTCCAGTAGGTTCTACTATTTGTACAGTTTCTAAAACAAGTTCTTGTACAGTTTCTACTGCAGGATCTAGTTCTAGTCCAGTTTCTACTGCAGGTTCTAGTTCTAGTCCAGTTTCTACTGGAGGTTCTGGTTCTCGTACAGTTTCTACTGCAGGTTCTAGTTCTAGTCCAGTTTCTACTGGAGGTTCTGGTTCTTGTACAGTTTCTACTGCAGGTTCTGGTTCTTGTACAGTTTCTAAAACAGGCTCTTGTTCTTGTACAGTTTCTACTGCAGGTTCTGGTTCTTGTACAATTTCAGTTAGATTTGTTTCTTCTCCGTCTACAGGTTCTATCGGTACCTCAGGTGTTTCTGCACCTTCAATTGTTCCTCTTTCCATCTTTTCCGTCCGTTCTTCAAAGGTTGATGTTTGTATTGTAGCTTCATCTGGTTCTTCTTCTGCTGAGATGTGAACCGAAGCTTCTAAAGTCTCATCTTTGGTAACTGTTGCGTCCTCTGTTTGAACATCTGGTTCTTCTTCTGCTGTTGCATCAATGACGTCTAGGTCTTTTACATCTATCTCCGTCGTCTCATCTTCAACAAGAACTAAGTCTTCTTCATGTAAGACTTTGTCTTCTTCTGCTGCCTCGACTATTATTTCTTCCTCCGTCTCGTCCACTGTAGTACGAGGTGGTACCTCCTCTGTGACGTACGAGGTGTCTTCATCCTTGTTCTCTCGTAAAATCACCACGACGGGTTCAGAAGTGACCTCTTCACTAACTTCTACTGTGATCTGGTCTGTTATGGTCAGAATAGAAGCCTGGGAAGGAACCTCGATTTCCAAGCCTTGAGTCATGTTTATAAATATTTCAGCTTCTTCTTCTGAATCCGTTAACAAAAACACAGTTGGAGTTTCATCTTGGCTAACTTCTATAGTTTCCGCTGAAGGATGTTCTGCAGGTGGTTGCGATCGGTCACCTTCAGGTTCTTCAAGAATAACTACCTTGACTATTTCAGGTGTATCGGTTGGCTCCGGTGAATCCTCAGTTTCAGTCAAGGACAAGTCTGGGGTGACGTCCAAAGACTTGTCTGGAGGTTCGTCAACGGCCTTGAAAGTCTCCTCGGGTGTTTGCTCAGTTGCGACTCCTGAAGAAGCCTCAGCAGCTGGCTCTTTATGCCCTAATGTAGTGGGCTCAGTAGAAACCACAATGGTGGCTTCTGTGAGGACCACTTCAGCCATGACCTCTGAGGGTGGCTCCTCAGAATCAGGTCCATCCACATCTTCAGGTAAGATCTCAACCTCCTCTTCTGTTACAGTTCGATCTTCCTCAACAACCTCCACGGTTTCCTCTGCAATGTCCTCAACATCTACTTCTTCAGACTCCAGAGTGTCAGTGATGATCAAAGGTGGACTTTCTGAAGCGATGCTGAAGTCTTCGGCGTCCTCTGGCAAGGCAATGATCACTGACTCGGAGGTAAAATCCACCGGGATCTTGGTCCCGGATGTTGCAGGATCGTTAACCCCTTCGGTTGCAGAGGGTAAAGGGGTCAACGCGGTGACCTCAAAGCCCGGTGGAAGGTCCTCTTTGTTTGTTGTGATTGTGTCCGATCTGACGATGATAACGTCCTCCTCTGTAAAAAGACGATATAGATGATACGACATTATTAGGACGATGGAAAGTAAACTAACTGAACATAGACATGAGATCCAGTTCTTTCAGAGAGATTTAACTCGTAAATCATTTGTCACGTTTTGTCGTTGTCTCTGTTGCGTGGGAAGACCTAGTGTTTGATTCACTGGCCACAAGCTGAGACGGTCAAGTGATTCCTTTTCTCCGTTCACCTTAAAAGAGGTGAAGTTGTGACCTTAAATTAAACCGTAAAGCCGTTTGAGGAGTGGAAGACTTTTGTTTCCAGCTCCACGTTGGCTCAAATACAAACCGCCACAAACTCAGCGTCTCCACGTTCTTCTTTGATCCCACTAACCCTGATACCAGTAAGTCAGTCACGTCCTCACCCCCCAGTGACCAGACTGACTGTAAATAGGCTTACTGGTCTATTCAGAGCTCCCGGTCCTCCCTCACATGAGGTGAGGTGGGGGTAAGCCGGCAGCAGACGTTTAAACCTGGACAGCGTTCAGTGTTGAACAAACATGATCGTCTGGTCCTCCACTCATCAAAGAGGTCATGAAGACTTTCAATGGGTCACCAGTTAGACACTATTAACCTCCTGCTGTCACACAAAGTCCTTCAAAGAGCCTTCTGCTGCTTTCAGGTGTCACTTTTACTGTCCGAACCTTGGGCTCGAGTCAACATCTTAATGGGGATTCAGAGATTCAGGTGAGAGTTTACCTGCTGGACTCAATGATTCTGCCGACTGGACGCTTGTTGTCTCAGAGCTGCAGAAAAAAAGAGACAGAAAAGATTTTAGAAAACAACAGAAAACAGAAAACAACAACTTCCTGTCAAACTGTGACAGAAACTTTCAAGATTGTAATTATATAAAGTTATGATGGGATATTATTCATAAAATTGTTTACCGTCTTTGTGAAAGTAAATGAATATATTTATAACATTTATAAAAGATGTGATGACTGTAAAGAATAAATAAGTAATCGATTAATCAAGGAAATGATTCTTAAAGTGAGCAGACAATGAAAATAACCATGAATAGGATTCCGTTAAGTCTTTTACTATTTAAGATAAACCTCATTACATCACATTCAAATGAAGTCATGAATATTTTAGAGATACATAGACACACGATTAATGTAGTAAATCTATAATGACATCTATCACACTTCTGTCCATCCTGGGAGAGGATCCTCCTCTGTTCTCTCCCTCTGGTCTCCCCATTAAAGGAGTTTTGAGGGAGTTGTTCCTGCTCTGATGTGAGGGTTCCTGCTCTGATGTGAGGGTTCCTGCTCTGATGTGAGGGTTCCTGCTCTGATGTGAGGGTTCCTGTTCTCATGGGAGGGTTCCTGTTCTCATGGGAGGGTTCCAGGACAGAGGATGTCACATGTGTACATATTGTAAAGCCCTGAGGCAAATTTATAATTTGTGATTTTGGGCTATATAACAATAAATTGAATTGAATTGAATAATATTATTCATTATTTATTTATATAATAAAGTATAAAAACAAAAAGTCCAAAAACAACATCAGTAAAATGAGAAAATGCTGATTTTAAAGGGGAGTTTTCATCTAAAAGACAGTTTTATATATATATTTATGTTCCGTTTCTGCTACATCCTGTTACTTTAATGTTTCTCTTCAGACACAACACATCTGTGAACCCTAACAATAGTTGGCATTCCCCTTTAAAGTCATTAAAGTGCAGCCATGAGACACATCTGGGCCCAAGAGGTTTTTATGGTGAGAATTAACAGAAACCACACGACTGTGAAAAACACAACAAACAAACATCTGGCTGAGCGAGAAGCAGCCAAACACTCTCAGCTGTTTAAATACATTATAATATCTATGTATTCTACGTATATAGTCACATATCGTCGGCATACAGCTGAACTAGTCTGTGAACTGACTCCAGGTCTGTGTTTGCTGTGTTCAGGCCTACCTGCATGGAGGAGGACCTGAGGCGATGGGCACACTGCAGCAGGTGATGAAGCAGAGCACAGGTGTCAGTAACACAACCACGTCAGTCTACTACACCTGCTACACGTCAGTCTACTACACCTGCT